CAACATAGCATCATAGTTGGTTAGTCCACTTGATAAGTGTCAAACTAAGACAATAGGATGGTTAGAATGCAGAGTTGGCAAAAGAATCGGATGCGACTATACTGCGTCTAACTTAGAGTAAAAAAGTGAAACTTAGAATATTGTATAAACACTGTAGAACAAAATTAGCGGTCGATATCGGTTACAGGATGACTTGAATACCTAAATATAACAAATCACGATTAAATATTTGTCTGTCGATTCTCACTTTTTTCATCAAAAATGCACTCAAATGCGCAATTTGTTAAGATTATTAATAACAATGGAATCATTATGAATAAAACAGAACATTCTGAAATGAGTTTTTCCCCCGCTTGTTTCTTAAAATTTTTCTTCATTTAAGAAATGAACTTGGCAATTTTTACCATATTTTGAGAACTGCTTCAAAAGAAATACCTTACATTATTTATTAATAACTGACCACTGTTAAAAATGTTACAATTGGTCACTAGCCAAAAAAAAAATTCTTAATTTTGCCCTATGGTAGTCACGATAACTAAGTTAAACTGTGCTAGAAACTGCGTATAAAGCAAAACAAAAGGGACAGATGAATGCTGAGAAAATGTCACAGACAAACCTCAGGGTTGTGGAACCAGTATTAAGTGTTCAGTTAAACGTTCAATTACCAGGGGTCCATCCAGACATTTTGTGAAAGGTCCGTTTTTGTAAAATTGTGAAAAAATTAATCGTAATTAATGAATATAAAATAAACGTTAAGTCACATTCTTTCAACCAGGGTCCTGCATTTATGAATTTGTGCAAATAGGGTCCGGTTATTGCAAAAAAAAATTTCAAGGAGTTTTTAAATTGTAAAGAGATACGAGATTATACTCAGCACTGTAAAATTATAATTAAAAAAAATTAAATTTTCAAAAATAAACAGCAATTGCTGCTCCTAAATTAGAGATGCAACATGTAAATATTCGGTATTTAGCCTATACTGCTGAACGCAGAATATTCATTTAGTACGAATAATGGAAGAAGCGTCTGCCGGAGACATAACTTAATTCGTTTACATCCATCTTTCTTGTTTTCCCCCCTGGGAAGGGTTTATTCGATTAACAATACAATAATGAAGATAAACAAATTTGCAGACCCCTGATTACACAAATGTTAAATGTTGCGAAAATGTCACTGACGCACCTGGGGGTCGTGGAACCCGTACTTATTAAAGATAAAACGCCTTGAGAGCTTGAAATAGTAATTACAGTTATTGTTAATTCTTCTCAAATAGTTAAATCTCTTTGAAAAAAATAAGACAGTGAGAAGTGTCCAGTTAATGAACTAAACTTTCATCACATCATTTAAACGATTTATATTTCGAACAAAAACAAGCAAATTTTCTCGAACATTCAAGTGTTTGTTTGGTTTATTATTATTTCAGAATTGTCACTAACGCACCTTGAGGTTGTGGAACCCGTAGCTATTTAAAGATACCCCTTGAGAGCTTAATAGAGTAGTTACAGATATGTTAATCCTTCTAAAATAGTTAAATCCCTTGTGAAAAATGAGACACACGGAAGTGTCCAGTTAGTGGATTAAACGTTAATCAATTAAATAACCTAAAATTATAAATAAAAAAAGCAAATATTCTGAGCTTTTTTATTTTGGAGATTTTTGTATTAACGAATACTATCGTGCGAGAAAAACGCTTCTTAAATATTCATTCTTTCACGTGCAGTTAAAGATAAAATAATCGCTACATGCAAAGTATTGCATCTCACGTCTGCAATGGTGTCTTCTACGCCTAAAACCGATGAATTATTTATGCAAACGTCGTGCGGGGGCAGTTAAAACACATGCTTAATTTCAAATCATACACGCATGTTTATATCGATCACACAACTGAAACATTTTCTTCAGATAAATTATAATAAAAAACCTATTAACCTCATAATCAGATCCAAGCCTTTTTATAAATTCTTTTGACACAAACTTTTTTTTTTCTTCTTTCGATTAATTATATGCTCTTTTGTTTGCATGGTTGAAAAGCTTTGGTTTTCTTTTATTGAGAAATACTAAGTGGTAGATAATAACTTAAATAGTGTGCGGTCTGAAGAATTTGATGTGCATTTTTCGAATTATTCATAAGGTAGATATAAATATGGAGATAAATTAATAATTTTGGCTTTCCTGCTAGGATTTCTACGTCAAAGAATGTTGAGTTACTCAAATGTTGCGAGCGTGTTGTAAGAATTTGAAGCATTTCGTCCTTTTTTTGCTTTTTAACGCGAAGGAAATTCCATCTTAATTTACTATTCACAGATAAAGTCCTGATTATTATTTACTTTATTCTGCACTGCTGTAACCTTTCGAAACATAAAATACGAAGCCGTAATCTTCTCAGAATCAAGATAGTATTATGTAATTTCTTTCTTTTTCATTTTTACAATAATAAAAATAAAAATATATATTCTAAATAAAAATAATAAAAATATACATTCAAAAATACAGAATGTAATAAAAAATTACATTTTGTATTTTTGAAAGTAAAATTATAATACGTTTGCCCGTCTTAATCAAAAAAAAATTGTTTTTACTTTAGTTAAAGTTAGAAACAATTTTCAGCATTTCACATCATTTAACAAATTTAAAATAATAATAAAAATAAACGTTTAGTATTAGATAGCCTATTCAAAACTTTCCATCATACTATTTAATAATTTTCTTTACAATGAAAACCATTATTATTTTTTTAATATATTTAGTACGAAGTCGTATTGATTGCTTATTTTTTTACCCACCCGAAAACTCGAAAAAACCCGGGTGGTTTTTTTTAAAACATTATCAAAACATGCCCTTTTTTATATCAGTTGTTATTTCTTCTATGACTTATAAATAATAATGCATAATACACTAACATACGTAACCCTACCTTCAAAACTTAGTGTATTTAAATAAATAAGTATGTACTTTGAATTAATGTAATTTTTTTTTGCTTCAACATACGTCCTATTTAAATAAGTTTTCAAATACGAATAAAATAAGCATTTATAAGTGTTATAACAAAATATTAAAAACAGTATTTTTTAATTTTTTCCAAAAGAATATTTTAATTTTATAAAAAGATCTAAATGGGTAGATTAAAATAATTTTGTTAGTAGTTATATTTTAATGCCACTGCTACAAAATAGTGATTTCAATACAAAAATTATTCAATTTCAAACCATAATAATATATTGAATAATATAAAATTAAAGTTAACTTATATTGCATTATAAATTTTATTTAATAAAAGTTTACATAGTAATTATTGTTTTTGTTTTGATTTATAAAACGTTGGTATTTAACCAGCTTTTTCAAACCTTAGTCTATTCGTCAATTTTAACAAAACCAGACCAAAAGTAGAAAACACCCTTTCCACAGGTGCAGAGCCCGCGCTAAGCATTCGCCACCTCGCATAATGCGATAAAATCCTATATTTGGCGAATAAAATTGTGTTTTGGCGAATGATTTTTTTCCACTGGAAATTAAAATATATATTTAACTCGATCCTCAAAATTACGTCGAAATGAGTTCTTCGAAACTAATCAGTATTTTTTTATTCTATTACAGTAATTTTCGGTAGATGCGCCGCATAACCAATTAGAATTGGGTCTAAATAATATAAGCCTGATACAAAATACCGTAAAATAGTTATTTATGATAAAATAATTAATCATAAAATTGTTAAAGATTTGCTTTTGGCGAAGATTTTTGATATTTGACTAATTAACAGCAAATAATTTGAAATCTTTAGCGCGTCCCCAGCATGTATGCAAGATAATGAAATGGTTTAAGGATTTGCTTCAACCTCGATTCAATTTGTGATTTTTTATGTTAATAGTGTTTCATTTTCCATAACATTTAGCAAAAGTTCAACAAAGCAAGCAATATTAGATTTTTCTGTTCGCATTGTATCGAGGGAATGCAACAACAAACACAATATGATGCACAAAAAAATACAAAATGCAACGTTAAATATATATAATACAAGAAACCATCCTGTATTAGTATCAGTTGTCGCATTTCTTTAGTACTGAGAATTAATCAACAGATAAAATATATCGGGTATAATATTTTTCACAATTGTATGGATTCTGGAATTTTCAAAGCAAAGCTAATTTTAAATACATAGTTTAGAGAGCAATTCAAAAAACTTGCTAAATAAACGGTAGTTCTATAGTTAGTTGGACTAAAAAAGTAAAATTAATTATTTTAATTAAATTTAACTCAAAAAAATTACACTTTAACTTATATATATTTAAAAATAAATAGATAAAACAGAAAACAGTACATTTTTCTGATCCCATGATTTTATTTCTAGTCAAAGAAGGAATTGATTTAAGAGCCTTTTATTAATACCAGCATGAAAAGATGGTAGCATATTAAAATTAAAGCTATTTTTCTATTTCAATTCATTGATTTAATTATTATTTTACTATGAAAGTTTTCTTCTTTACTAAAATTGTTCTCTTTTGAATTAAGAATTAAACCTAAAAAAAGAGTTAAACTAATTAATATATTTTCAATGAAAAGCACAACAAAACCCATCCGCGTTTTGTTTTTTTTTTTCTTTTTTTTAAATTTTAGTATGAAAGTTCAAAAAAGGGAATTTTTTTAAACCATGAAATAAAATATCTGACTTCATTGGTTAAATTACTTTTAAACAGCCGATTAAAATGCATTAAATTTTAAGAAATGTTTTTAAATATATTATAATTACTTGGGAAAAATTCTAATGATCATATTTGCTTTCAACATATTTTGAAAGTTTGGGATTGTAGTTTTTAAATACACCCAACGCTTTTTTCAAAAGCCCTAAAATAAAATTATATAATGCTAAATCCTTTAAGTAGTAAAACTTACAATCTTCAGATGTAAAAAAGAAAAATAATTAATTTTCCAGAAAAGAATCTAAATCTAACATTAACAGCAATACAGGATGGAAATTTTTAAAGAAAAAATTGAAAATAACTTACCGATAAAACTTAAATTTGACAGTAGTAATTAAATCCTTCTTGAAAATAAATTTTCTTCCGTCACAACAGTTTCAATTTTTCTGAAGAAAAAAAGAATAGTTTTAGAGCCAATAGCGTCGATATAAAATATATAACTAATATTATTGTGAAGACCGGAATTCACAAGTAAAAGTATATGTTAAAATATAGTGCAAAATAATTTAATAACAATTGAATTTTTCAAAATAATAAAAATTTTATACGTTTGCAGCACCCACATTTTTTTAAAAATAAATAATTGAATTTCAGGACTTGGGATGAAAGCCACACTTTTTTCCAAAGATGATATTTTGACATGAAACTTTGCCTAGTATTTTCTGCAGTATTCCAAAATTTTCATTTGATAAAATCAAATTACAGAAACAACTTGTAAGCCTAAATAAAAATAGTTTTTTCCCACAAACTCACTTAAAAAAACAAAGATTTTTTTTTTCCCACAACAATTTTAAAATGTGGTTTGTTATATTGACATGATTTAAAGGCTAATGCTTTCCTATGTCGTATTTAAGAATTTTTTCACCTTCAAAACGTAACAAAACATTTGAAAAAATTATTTTTAAATGTTTTGTTGCAAGCATTTTTCTTACAAGGTAACCAAATGTAATATTCAAAGCAATAAAATAACACAGTTATCATACTATAATGCATCAAATGTTTGCATGTAATAGTATACCAAGCTAATAAAATACGCAAGATAGTAGAAACAAAATATTTTCAATTATTACATTAAATGATCAATACTGCAGAATTATGGCTTTTAAAATTTTCGAAAGTATGTTAGAAATTGACTATCACACAAACAAATAGGCAAAATATTATTTTTTAAATTAGCTAAACATTATCAAATGTATTTGATTGCATAACGACGTAAAATTCAATTTTAATTTATAAAACATTCCAAAAATTTTAAGTTAAACTAAAACAGATTTTTTTTTTTTTTTTTTTTTTTAAATAGACACGGAAAGAGAAAATATATAAATAAAAAATTTTACCTCGTGGGAGTTATTATCCGTGCCAACATATTTTCTAAAAAAAAAAAATTTTTAATCTAAAGCTTAGATGGAAAAAAAAAAAAGCGGGGAAGAAAAAAAAAACATTCTTGGAGCTTTCTTGTTATTAATATTGTGTTTACTTTCAACTTGAGCTTGAACAACAAACAAGTTTTACAATAAATAAACGCCAAAAGGGACAAATTTCTGGTAAACTGAGGAGGGGGAGAATGAAGAGGCAGATTTACACAGTTTTTAAACTTATGAATCTACTTTTTATCCTTGCTAGATTTTTCTCATTTTTGTTGCTAATTAATTAGTTAAACAGTAAAATACATGATGGGTAGTTTCATATACCTAAAATTTTTTCATTTCTTCAATAAAACTTTTTTTTTTCTTTCATAATGAAGACATGTTTGCTAACTTGTCCTGTGAGACAAGTAGTTTACACATTATTGAAAATTTAAAAAAAAAACTTACAGTAAACAAAAACGATGAAACTGAAAAAAAAATAAAGGAATTTAATTACTTCATGTAATAGATTTCATATTTTTCTAGCTAATTTGCACGACTTTATATCAAGTAAGATTTGCTAGTTTGCTTTTAAAAAAAGTAATAAATAAATGAAATAAAACGTTGGCAAGTAGGGATCATCGTCGAGCATTGCAATGACTACGCAATGCAAATAACCAGATTATAAAAGATACTACCCCGCTCTCCCTTTGGACAAAAATTGAGAGGCATATGACTCCGAGTTAACACAAAATTTGAAATAAAACACTACAAATTTGCCTGATGTAAAACAACACTTTTATCAAACAATTAAGAACGGTAAATACACAACTTTTGTTTTAACGATTTAAACTTCAAAAATGCCCATCATCTGTTTTGTCCCAATACATTGTAGCAATCTAAACATGAACAATGTCTCAAATTGCTAAAATACATCAATGAATTATAGGGGGAAAAAACAATATGGGGAATATATCACACATTTAAAACAATTTTCCGAAGTTCCTTAACCAATTGCTGTCATTAATTCCCTCGTTTAAATTGCAAGCCAAGTTCCTGATTATACCACAACTTTCTTAAGTATCTCAGATTCCAAGAACATGTAAATTGTGTCGCCAAAAAAGACTTTTTTTTTCTTTTAACGATATCAAAAAGCTTTTGATTCTGCATGTTTGCAAATGGATTCCGTCACGCGAACACACTCTTCGGCATTTTAACTACCAACAAACAAGTGCAGCATATTTTAATAGTCCATTATGCTCTGTCCCTTCACATACTACTAAAGTTAGGCCTCACATTCTCTTATTCATAATGGAATTAAAAGAGCAAATGCGAACCCCTTTTTAGACATTTTCATTCCTTAGAGATATAAGAGTAAGTAAAAGTTTCAATTAAACCAGACATTTCGAGATTCTTACCATGATTTTAGACATCTGTAAGCATTCGCCATTTCGTAAGTATGAAATTCACATTTTTTTAATGTCAGCGAAATTATGTAAATGCGTTTTCATTTTAAGTTTTAATAAAGCTAAGATGGAAATTGACATCGTTCATTGCGCAACTAAATTTATGCTAGTAGCACAGATCAGCGGTTCCCACAGCCTGACTAAGGCAGGAGCATACGGGGCAGTTGCCCAGGGCCCCCCATGTCAGAGGAGGCCCCCAAATCAAATAGAAAATTTATTGTACGTATCCTTCTTTATTGAACTTCTTTAAAACAAAATATCAGTACAGTGTAAAATTTCGAAGCTTTATGTTAGCTTTTTCATTAATCTATCGTATGAACACAAAAAATCTGTATTTCGTAAATCCATGGCTTTCTGGGGTGAAATTCAGCTAGATTTTCGCAATCAAGACGGACATATTTAGCCAATGAAAAGCCTGTATTTTTGCATATCACAAAATTTAAATACCTCCATTAAGTTCTTTTCTTCATCACTGAAATAGTAAAGCAGAGTGGGGCCCCAAAAAGAAGTTTTTGCCTCAGGCCCCAATTAGGCGTTAGGCCCTGGCGGTTACCAGAAAGGTTTTGCCGGTACCCTATGGCAGCTATTCCCTATTTTTTCAAACAAATTAATTTACTTTTTTTACACCAAGTACCTTTACCGCAATATAACGTTTTGAAAATAAAAACTTCCGTTTTTTCCCACCTTACAGTGCAAATCTAAAAAAGGCTTAACTCTCTGAGAGGATTATTTTCGTAAGAGTTTCTGTCTGCTTAAGATTTAGGCCACGCATTTAAAGTCAACCAAGTTTTTATTTTCAAAACGCTATATTGCGGTGAAGGTACCTTGCGCATAAAGAAAAAATTTGCTTTTAAAAAAATTTATCTAAGCAATTATTATTACGATGCAAAATATATTAAGCAAATCGAAAAATTTTTGCACGCTATTATAATACTCGTTTGTCCAAATATAATTCCATGCAAAAAAAAGTATAAAATAAGTATTCATTATTTTTCATTCTATTTAATAATAGTCGAAAAAATAGAATAGCGATATAAGCCATAAGTAAAATTAACATTAAGGGTTCCAAACTTTAGACCGCTTTCCTGATCAAACTATTAAATCCAATCTGTCGAGAAAAAAAAAGGTATGTTTATTTAGAAAAGTACGTTTTTGCGTTTAATTTCGTCACTCAAAATATCATCTACGGAAATTAATCAGCCTATATGAAGTCATCATCCCCGTGAGCCATTTAATTTGAGTCTTGGTACGTGAAAATCTGATCATTAGATCAAAGTTATTCTGGGTGTTTCGCTTCTTGTCTTTCGATATGCTACAGTTTCTATTGCATACTTTTTACTTCAAAAAAAAATGAAATAAGTTAAAATATCAATACAAATTCAATAAATTACAATCACAACTTTTTCTTGGAATCAAAAAATTATAAATTACTTCATTGCATTTAAAATGTTTCTCATTAACCGGTTAACGCCCAGCGTCATATATTTAGGACAATTCCTTTTTTCAAAAACATTCATTGTGGTGGGAAACTTTTTCCAGCATTTTCATTTATCTGGGTGAATTAAAAGATTCTCAGATACCACAATGATTTAGTTATTTCTGATTAGATCTAGAATTATAAGGAGCAAGTACTTTTAGATCTATCAAAGACTTTTTGCATGCCCTAACAGTAGATAAAACAATTAATTTCGAAAATATATTATACCACTTTTTCCTTAAAACCACTTTTTGTATCATTTCAATATATAAATTCGGGACAAAACGGGTTAAAGAAATGATGTAAAAATATAACAAAACTCTAACCCTGAAACTAACTTATCAGAATCGAGAAAATAGTAAAAGGAAAACCAACTTCCGGCCAGTGAAGAAAATTCGTGTAAGTAATTCGTCTGTATTCCAAAATTAATCACAGCAATGCATAATATTAAAAAAAAAAAATTCGAAAGATAAAGTAACAAAAACAGAAATGTTTTCCTTTCATGCGTAGGCGGGAGTCGAAAGGGCTCATTCATCAACTCCGTGTTTCTAAAAATAAAACAGCTGAAACTTTACAGCCTTCATATAAGCAATCGAAGATAAATAATCAATCGGTAAAATAGTCTTCGTCGTATAATTCTTTTTTAAAAAAAAGTCAGATTTCCCACCTTACCATAATAAAATAGAAACGTTTCGTTCAAGACTAATTATTATCCTAACCAGGGGTCTGTTTAGAAGAAATTTGGGTCCGTTAACGGATACTTCACAAAATATCTATTCATGAAAACGGATCCCTCACAAAATATTTTAACTTAAAATCGGATCCTTCACAAAATAATTTATCTTTTAATCGGGCCCTTCACAAATTTGTTTATCTTCATTATTGTTTTGTTAATCGAATAAACCCTTCCCAGGAAGGGGGGGGGGAGAAGACAGAGATGTAAACGAACTAAATTTTGTCTTCGGCAGACGCTTCTTCCTTTATTCGTTCGAAATGAAAATTCTGCGTTCAGCAGTATAGGCTAAATACCGAATATTTATATGTTGCATCGCTAATTTAGTAGCTGCAATCGCTGTTTATTTTTTAAAATTTAATTA